AAAACCACTTGGCTAATTTGCATAAACTATAAGTGCTGAAAAAACAGCTGGCTCCTTGTGCTGTGTGGTCAGCTTCTGTTGGACTAAGGCCTGTAAATTGGGCTACTCCTGACTACTAATGCTCCGACAATCCATCAAGCAGCGTGATTTTGTAGCTTATCAAGTCATACTAAAACATTTTGACTGATTTTTCAGCACCTTATACCACATGAAATCGGTTGGAGGACAGTGAGCACAACCTGAATTAATACATAAGACACACTGGATTGTAAGGCACACTGTCAATTTTTGAAGAAAATTAAAGGATTTTAAGTGCACCTTATAGTCCAAAACACACAACACACACACATATATTTATATATATATCTATATATATCTTATCTATATATTATACATATATATATATATATATATATATATATATATACTATATATATATATATATATATATATATGTATAAAACCCAGAGCCCTGAACTTATTGACCCTAAAGCAATAATCTCTGAATGTCATAGGTCGTGTTGTGGAATGAAATGAGTTGACATTTTAGGTCAAACACATTGGCACAGTCTGGAGTCACTGTGACCTGAGATGCCCTGAGACGTACTTTTCATTTTGACTAACTTTTTGCTAATTGTATCCAGCACCTGCCAAATTTGCTCCCGTCTGCTCACTGGAGAAGAGGCAGAGTTTAAGTTTAAGTTTTGGCTCATTAAGTTTGACTTGTAAGTGAGTTTGGCAGTAAAAACATTTTCAATAAAGTGAAGGTAATGATATGTACATTGTTTATTCTGGTGATAGCAGTGTCACTTTGGTTTTAAGTCAGATGCCCTTCCTGAACTTACACATCTGTCTCATTCTATTGTAGTAATAATCATGTTACTACCACCATCACGAGTCATAAGTCATTGTAAGATAAGATGAAGGCCGAAAGTTCGAAACGCGTTGGCGTGATTTTAACTTTATCTGCCATGTGATATTAAAGCCTTTTCATAATTTTGTACTTTTTGAGTGCCTCAGTTTTTTCAACTTTGCTGAATACTAAGTGTGACAGTTTGAATAGCTGAAATTTGTTAGCTTTATCTGGCTCTAAAGGTTAGTGGTTCAATTCCTGCTACTCAAAATGTGTTAATGTGTGTTTGGGCAGGACACTTTGACCACTTTGACCATCTTATCTGCAAAGTATATATAAATGAGAACTACCAAACTAGACTGATTACAGTTAAGACTAAGTATTTTTGCATATTTTCTGTAAGAATCTTGAGAGATAATTATACACAACTGCAGAACTGAATAATAATCTTCATAGATTCTATTTAATACTGTTCACAGTAGCTCAGTTAGAAGAGTGTTTGTCCACTGATCCGAAGGTTGGCAGTTTAAATCCCGCTCTCAATACAAACATCTTTGGGAGAGCAGTCAGATCCAGCTCCCACAGATGAATACTGCCGTTGTGTCGACGGGCAAGACACATACCCCACCTCATGCCAGTGTCTTTGTGTGCACGAATGGGTAAATTGTTCCTTGATGTAAAGGTGAAAGTGGAAAAGCGCTATATAAAAATGTGATTATTAATATAAACTATAGTTAATACGTAGTAACTTTCTAAAAGCCTCTTCTGTGCCAAGTCTTTTTGTAATATATTTCAAGTTTATTTATGCATTTATTTTTGTTTTATTACCATTTTTCAATAGTTTTTTTTTTTTTTTTTTTTTTTAGTTTTAGTAGGCCTTTAACTTTTTTTAAGCACTGCTGTGGTAACTTTTGTAATGGTACCAACCCTATTACATATGGCTTTGAAAGATAAAATATTGTATTAACTTCGATTTCAACGACAGAGAACCCACACAACTGTTACATTCTCAAGTAAAACGGTCACGCGATGCTTTGGCATTTAGAAAAAAAATGTTGTTCAAGATTACAGAATTGATAATTAAGCAAATTAAACTATAAGAAAGGGATTATGCAGAATTTTTTATGACAGCCTCGTTTTCATATAGTCCATTTTGTGACTTGCGCAGTTCTCAGCTCATCTTAATTTAGACTTGGTTCCATATCCAGAAATTTTAGTCCTGGGGGTTTTAGTAACTTGGCAAAGTTCCGTGCTTGTACCATAAAAGCAAAAGTCCTTAACAGCATCACAGTTTAGTCAAATTATTTCAGACGGCATCAGTCAAATGCAGTTATTCACAGTTAACTCTGAGACCAGGACTAATCCATTCTGTGAAATAACAGGTTTACAAAGGCACAGACTGCACTTGAACACATGGCTGAGTTTATTATGTAATCTAGTAATTATATAGAAAGACCAGACTGGATCCTAATGACAAGGGAGTGGACAATAGTTGGATTAGGGAATAGTTTGATCTTGACTTTTGATATTGTTTGTAAAGGTGTGTTTATAAGAGCTCAGATTTTAAAGTTGTAGTTTATGATTGTCATGTACATGTGAAGATTCTTGGGTAAAAAAAAGAAAAGAAAATGAAAATAGAACAGAATTTAGGTTAAGAAGTTGTGATTTGAGTAAGTCAATATATTGTCATATAAATCAATATGTAAATTGTGGTAAAAGTAGTAATAGTTTTTGTATAGTAGCAAAAATAGTGGTGGTAGTTCCAGTAGCAGAAGTAATAATAGTAAAGTAAGTAGTAGTAGTAGTAGAAACTGTAATAGCGGAAATCGCGGTAGTTCCAGTATATAAATTATGAGGTAACAGAAGTCGTCATTATATTTTTAAACCTTGTATTGAATGATTCATAAAGACAACAACACAATATATTTACTGTATATGTGACTCTTACATCATTCTTTCTATAGAAAATTATGCAAATGTGTAAGAACGATCACTTTGATTAATTTGCCATAGATTTTCCCTGTAATCTACTGCTGCTTAATCCACATCCTGCTGCAGATTACATCAAACATATGGGCAAAAGTAATATTCAGATTGACTTAAAATGTATTAATTCAGTCACAGTTGTAATTATCGACTTTATGAAAAATGCACACATCATACACCGCCATGTGGCCCAGTGGTGGAAATGCAGTACATACAGAAAACAGCTACCTGATTGTCTTCTTTCTGCACAGTCAGTGTCATAGATACACTCCCTATACTCTGGCTGTATGGCGGCTCTTGAGCCACAGCTGTCCTGGGGCAGTCTGACAGAAGAAACGTGGCCAGTTATATAATTAATAGGGTCTCTGCTAGCCTGTTGTCACTGAAATGTTATTGCTATGAATAAAATGTTCCACTGTATGCCATAAAACATATATATAATATCTCTATGGACAGTGTTCTGAAGTAGGGTGTGAAATTTTAATTTCTATAGAGTCAAGCAGGTGATACCAAAAATGTTCGGACTATAAGGCACACTAGATTATAAGGCGCAATATCAATAATGTTGAATTCTCTTGTCCATTTTCATACATAAGGTGCACAGGATTATAAAGCACATTAAGCGAAACAAAACACTTACCAGATCGTGGTGTAATTCGCCTGGTGTTGCCTCCCTGTCTTGGTGAATGTGTATTAGGAATGTGAGTATGGGTAGATAATTTAAGTTTAGTTTTTTTCTTTTTCCATGTGAGGACTCAAATATACATTGAGTAATAATGTGTTTAATGCAACTTTGTGCACATTTGTTTACGTTTTACAGAAATGAAACTTAAAGCCACATGGGTAATTTGCATGAACTATAAGCGCTGAAAAAACAGCTCGCTCCACGTGTGCTGATTCAGTTCAGATTCTGTCGGACTAACTCTGTAAGGCTCATGACTACAGTAGCCGTAATGCTCTGACAATCCATCAAGCGGTGCAGCATCGTAGCTTACCAAAGTCGAACTAAAACATTTTGATGGATTTTAGAGGGCTGTGTACCACATAAAATCGGTTCAAGGTCAGTAAGCACAACCAGAATTAATACATAAGGCACACCGGATTATAAGGCGCACTGTAAATTTTTGAGAAAATTAAAGGATTTTAAGTGTGCCTTATAGTCAGAAAAATACAGCACATATTTTCTGGTTGACTAAAAACTATGTATTATGGATTTAGTTAACTGACTTAGCACAACATTATTGTCAACTGAAACTAGATACTAACTAAAAATAATGATTTGACTTAACTTTGACTTAAACTGAAACCAAAAAAAAAAAAAAAAGTGTTGACAAAGACTAAAACAAAAAAAGTCAAAAAGTCTCACTGCTCTTGACACATGTAATCCGTTATTAATGTTTACATCAACATCAATGACATTAATGATATTGTATAAATTTGAGTAGTCAGATCGTTTTAACTTAAGGTGATACTTGTAGAAGGAGCGGACGTGGGCTTTCCTTTGAGTTTGATGAGCGCAGATTGACTGAGGAAAAATCCAGTGGAATCAGGTCCTGTAGGCTGCAGCTGTGATTTGTACAGACGGAGAGGATCTTATTAAAAGAGGCAGTGGAGCGTAGACAGGGGAGTCGTGTAAGCCCTGTGATGTTTCCACTATTTTTGGAGCAGGTTTGGCCCAAAATGACCTCTGGAGGAAAAGTTCATTGAAAACTCGTATACTTTGTTTTGCTTCTGGCCATAATTTCGTGTATTATTTTGAGTGCTTGTTAAAGGTGCCCTTTTTAACTTTCCTTGTGTGGGGTTTGTAACAAGTTTACTCCCTGGCGGTGTTATTGCCTTGAATGTTCTACAGGACGATATTAAACTTCTCAATCTTGTATTTATTAATTTACAGGTATTTTAATTGCCTTGAAAAACACACATTCTTACTGTGAGTGGAGCACTGTGCTGGAGTAATAAAAATGTTACGTTTTATAATAGTAGAGGATGCAGTAGTATGGCATTTAAAGTGTGAGTATTTGCAGTGATGGCAGTAAAATAGACTGGTGAGAGTATATTATTAACCCAAAGGTCAGAGAATCGATTCAGTCAGAACCAAGGGGAAAAAGCCAAGTTTTGTTGTTGTATCCTTAGGCAAGACACTTTACGCACATTACGTAGGATGAACGTGGTTTGTGAGAGACTGGTGATGGTTGGAGAGGCCAATTGGCAGCCATACTTGCCTCAGGACAGCTGTGGCCAAAATAGTGACTTGCCGTCGGAAAGTATGGAATGAATAATGAGTTCTTGGGGTGGGAGAAGACAAATTTCCACAAGACGAGACATGAGATTGGGTCCACAAGAATGAGACAAGAGGAGATTTTGACAATCCATCCATTTTCTTCTGCTTCTCCGGGGCCGGGTCGTGGGGGCAGCAGCCTAAGCAGGGGCTCCCAGACTTCCTTCCTATTTTGACAATATTTAGTGTAAATCAATTGTGCAGTTCAGTTTGGACGTCACCATTTTTTATTTGCTTTATTTAATATTTTCCTGCCATTTTAGTCTTGCTTTTTGGATCAGACTGCGGGGCTTAATGCTCTATTCAGATTTTTTTTTTTTTTTTTTTTTGTGAAATTACATTTTTTGGCAAGGTCGTTCACATTTCCAAATAAATACAACTTGTATGTGATCTCCAGTGTGAACTTTAAATGCCCCAAAAGTTTACATTGGAGCCAGGACCGTCTGTAGCCACGCTCGACTATTTAAAAAAACACCCGGTTCCAATAAGACCCCTCCAATTTGGCCTGAATCCAGCGATCCCCCAAATATTACTTAACTTACTAACCTCGCTTTCCTTCCATTGACTCGACTCTGAGCCTGATGTAGGTGGGATGAATGCGACCTGGCCGTTCAGACTGAAGTCACATGTCAAAAGATTGGATACGTATCGGTTTTAGGAGCACATATCCGAGTGGCCTGGGTTGCATTTGAAAAAAATCGTCTCTGTGTCGTTCAACCTGTCATTAAAAGATCAAATACAGGTTGCATAGGGGAGGAAAAATCTGATTTGGGTTACTTCAGGCTGCCTAAATATCTCTAGAAATGTAACTCTCTGGTTTGAGATCTTGTCCCGTTCTTAATTACCACAGCAGTTTGTGAAGCTGTGTAAGGAATTAGCAGAATATTACTACTTCCCAGTAGTGTCCTAATGATAATTTATACTACACTATAATGCCTTGTACATTTGATTGGTATTATAAATCACAATAATAACCAATGCAATGTTACTCTAAACTTACCAAAAGCCTTGCAAACCATAAAAGTCTAAGTAAAGTGTTTGTGTGTGTTTCTTTGCAGTGGTGTGTAACTTTCGTGGCTCGGTGAATCAGGGCCTGGCTCTGGAGGTGGGAGAGACCGTTCAGATCCTGGAGAAGTGTGAAGGTAAGATTTATACTCTAGGGGTGTAACGATATCCAAATCTCACGATACGATACGATATCATCACGGTATGAACTTCACGGTATGATATTTAGTGCGATATCGATGGGGAGGCTCACGATTAGGGATGTAACAATATCCAAAATTCTCCGTACGATATTTTCACGATATACATCTCATGGTACGATATTTATTGCGAAAACTGTGAATATGCTACTTTTTTTTCTTAAAATGCCTTGACAAGACTTAATCTAAAGAACTAAGACTTAAAAGTGCTTAGAACAGTTATTTCTTCTTGTAGTCTGCACTGAAATAGAGCAAAGGATCATGGTCTATGTAGTTCTCTCTGTCTTTTTTTAGCTACTGCTGCACCATAACTCTTAATTTAAGCAAAGAGACTTGTAATTCGATATATTGTGATGGTCCACGATATTACTGTGAGAAATTTCAGTTATTGCTACATCCCTCTTATGTTGTTATTTCATATTAAAGGCGTACTACGTAACTTTCCTGTTGGAGGGTTTCTCATCTGCTTGTCTCCATAGAAATGCTATTGCTTTGCCCAGAATGCTCCACAGTATGACATTAAATTTATGTGTCTCCATGGTGACAAGGTGACACAACCAGTAGTTACAGGTCAGATTTGTAAACAAATAGAAAAGTTACATAGTCCACCTTTAATATTTTGATATATTATGTAAATGAACTGATCTGAACTTTGTAGAACTTTACTTGCCCAGTTTTTTTTCTTTATAAATTACTCTCTTTTTTAACTTTTTGGTAGAATTCCTCAAGCATGCAACTCAAAAGATTTTATGTATTTAATAAAAATAAATTAAATTTCCACAGCAGTAGTCAAAAGGGTGGATGGGTCAAATACAGTTTAACATTTTTGATATTTTCTAATCATCTTAAACTTAAAAAGGTGTCATCATGTTGTTTTAATGTTACACTTTTCGAATTATAAAGTTTTATCTGATTTTTTCGTTGAAATTGTGGAAATAATCTTGTTTTCACCCATTTTCTCTTTTCACTTTTGCAACACGAGTGGTCAAAACTTTAGACCTAACATGTCAGAACTCCCCGGCACACAGACACCACCCTGTGATTCAAATGGGACAAAATGATCCAGTATGGTCAGGCATCCCATAATAATGACCAAGCAAATACACATTAAAATAAAAACTAGGCCTACTGGAGCAAACTGAAAACTTATGTCAATAGAGGCTGAAATCCTAGAGTTGGTGAAATCTTATAGTTGGTGATTATCTGCCGTTATAGAAGCCGCACTGATCCAGAGAGAGAAAGAAAAAAACGTAAAAAAGAGAGTAGGAGGTTGACGGAGAAGAGAGAGAGAGAATGAGGACGCGTTGTGTTTGTGGAGAATGGAGGAGAGTGAGCCATTAGCTGCAGCTGGCCAGGCTTGGTTCATCCATCTAAAGTAGCGTCTCCACTAAAAGAAGGGCGGATACAAGCATCTGGGGACAAGATGGAGACTTAAGAGGGGGCTCATTATGCGAAATCCACTTTTATCAAGCAGTTAAATTAAAATTTCCCTCATTGTCAGCTTCAGTTTAAGTGTTTCATGTTTGAGTAATCCTGGATTTGAGACATGAAGGAAAAACACAGTTGCACCTAAACCCACAAAAGGACTTTCTGAGGTTCTTCTGACTCAACCTGGAAAAGAAAGTAACCACAGTGACCTTGTACCTGATATTTGCAGATTCACAAACCAAAGGTGAAGCACAGAGTGAAGCAAAAGAAACACGGAGACACCTACAGACAAACTTCAGCTGATTTTAGCAAAAACACAGACACATTTGGTTTATGAAAAGCATGCAGAAGGTAAAGTGCTTTGTGCATTTGAGGACAGGGAAGATGTCTGTGCTTTTCTCCCTATTATTTGATCACTTTGAGCAAGAGTTTAATAAATGTGTATAACTCAAATGACAGTGCTACACATCTCAATCTGGTGTTTGCCATGCTGGTCAGGATCACAACCCTAACCCTCTTATTTACAGCTGCAGTCAGTGTTACCATGCATAAAAAAAGTTCCAAAATCACTACGTAACACCACTGAATCTTTTAAGAAAAAAGAAAAAGTTAATCCAGACATGTAAGAAGATTTTATCCAAGTTGTTATGAAAGGACCTCAGTGTAAACCTACATGTAGTAGAAAGCCAGGGTTATTTATTTTAAAATGAAGATTAAAAAAACATTTGAATCCCTGACTTTGATTTGTTCTGTAGTTTTTAGTTTTTTGGTATAAACCCTGGATGTCACCCCTGAGTCTGAGGTCAGGACCTGGGACAGAGAACAGAATATGATCCGGATTACCTGGGTCAGATAAGGCCAAATGTGATGGCATCTGTCACACACAAACCCAGTGCACTGTGATTATGGAGACACACAGAGGTCATGCAAATTATAATCTGACTTGTTGTTGGCAGAGATACAAACCACTGAGACATTCCTCCTGTACTTTTATAAACCAAAATAAGACAAGGTTAATGGTTAATGTGAAAGTGTCGATTTGTTCACTTGAACTTCTTTGTCACGGAAATAAGTTCGATGATCAGATGATGTCCTCTCACGTGGCTCTTGTGAGCCTTAAACCATGTTATAATGTTGTTATATCTCTAGATAACAGTTACCTTTCACCTCTTGTTCAGCAGAGATTGGCAATTCCTGAGTTTATCCAGATTATTCTAGTGAAAGTGCAAGGAGTTTAAAAAGTTTACCACTTCCTTTATTGCCACATGACATCACAAAGTGGAACAGGGTGTTTTCTGTTTAAGAGAAGAACACAATATTCGCACAAAGTTCATGTATTCAATGTGTGAAAGAAACAAAACACAACTCCAGGTATGTTTGTGATGAGGGAACATAACATACTGTAGATCAGAAAATAGCATAATATGGGCCCTTTAAAATACAAAATTCTACATACTCTTGTTATGGCCACAGGCCTCCAGCTCCTCCTGTGTGTGAGTGTGCACGCCTCCATATCCAGACCCCCTGCTGTGATTGGTGAATTCAAGTTAACCCTCTCCAGGCAGGCGTTGCAGATTTGCAACAGCTAAAGGCCAATTACCTACTTACTCCAAATCTATATTTTATGAGCCTTTTATAGTCAGGAGCCTTTTTTCCCATCCATGCTGATAAACGTGGATGATGTAGACTGTGCAAGAAACGGCCTGCCAGATGTGCAAAGTACTTATGTTGTTTACAAAGGAAAAAAATTGTTTCTTGGAGTACCACACAAAAAAGTTATGCTGTTCTGCCACTGTAAAGCTGTTACACTGTGCTTTTTGTTTTCATTGTTTTTCAAAAGTGGTAAACACATAGTTAGCATTCATATCATTTTCAGTCTTCAGTGTTAATTTACCACACCGGACCAATGCTGCAAATCTGCAACATCCCAGAATGCATAGGATGTGAAGGTCTCTCTCTCAAAAAAAAAAAAAATCAGGATTGTATATTACTACCCCATATGATAATTTTCCCCAAATATCAGATTTTTCCTGATACTAAAAATTAATTTGAGCCTGAGAGGGTTAAGATGGCATGTGGATCCCCTCCTGCTGATTGGTGGAACCCGTAACACCTGGCCAATCTGGGGCCTACACCTGGAGCACCAGCCCCCTATAAAAGGACCCGCCCCCTGCCACTCAGGGCAGCTGTTCTGTTTGTGGACTTGCCTGCCACCTTTGTTGTGTCTCTTGGTGTATTTAGTTTGAGACACTAGAGTCACTTGAGACTTAGAGACTGGTTTTGTTTTTGTCTTGTCATTTTGTATACTTTGTCTGTTTTAGTCTACTTTAGTTACTTCTATTTTGCTATTCTGTTTAGAGCCTCTTTCTGTTAATCATTTGAAATATCAACTTTTGTTAGCTTCACCTTAACAGTTCTTTTAAATAAAACACAATTTTAGTTTTGCCATTTTTAAATCTTGGTTATTTTGTTACTTCTCCCTGTCCCTAGCAGAGCTGGGTCGTAACACTCTACCTTTTTTTTTATTTTTTTTTACCTAGTTTTTCAAATGTAATTCAAATATATGTTGTTTTATATAAATACAGTTATGGGTAATAGTTTAAGCAATTTAATCCACAAATTCTCCCAACACATTTTGGACACTGCCGATTTTTAGCTTTAAAAATGCATTGTGTAACTTTTCTCGTGGAGGGTCAGTTAAATGCTTTTCTCCCTGGAGATGTTATTGCTTTGTCTGGGATGTTTCACAGTATGACATTAAACTTTTCTATCTTCATGGAGACCAAACCAGACCAAGTTACAGGTCAGATCTGTGGAGAGGCGACCCCTTTTACAGTCAGAATGCCTGTTTTACTAGGTATTTTTGAGCTAGAAAACCACTTGTAATTGAATAAATGTGAGGCTAAGTTGATTAAAGTCATACTGTGGCACATTCTAGGCAGAGACATTGCATATCTATAGAAACAAGCAAGTGAAGGATCTCCAAACAAAAGGTTACACAGTGTACCTTTAACTTAGCAACAAGAAAGAAACAAGAAAGGAAGATTAAACCACTGTGCACGCTCTCATTAGCGTCCCATAACACCTCTATCTTTGTATTCAAGTTACTAATCCTTTTCCTGTGTTTGATCGTTACTCTGCGGTGCCCGATCTCCAGGTGCTCCCTTCACACCCATGACTGTGATAATAGCGTATACTTAAATATTCTCCTCTGTTCCCCGTGGCTATAATTACCACACACATCTGAAAACCCTCTTTAAAATAATGACACTGTTTGAGTGTATGGGCTCTTGAGAATCGCAGGCTCTGAAACACCAATCTAAATTACAACCAGGGCTGTAATGGAGGTGTAATGATTTCCTAAGTGTTACAATGGTAATCTATATTTTAAAATGAAGGGGAGGGGAAGCAGATCTGTACAGGCTGATGACTCCACATCAGGAAGAGTTGGACTGACCAGTGTGAGGGGGAAAGAAAACATTATGAATTTGCTTTTGAGGTGTACATTT